TTTCTTTACCTAGTCTTGAGCAAGCAAAGATTTATTTATTAGCAAGATCAATTTCATCACCTTTATTAATTTCACCAAAGCAATTCTTGTTCATTTCATTTTGTTTCACATCAATTTGCCACCTTCTAGATGCACAAAAAAGCTAGGGAAATGTGGTGGGGAGTTTGTGGACAGCTATGAGAATAATGTTAGAATTTAATTACTTGCTCATGTGGCACGTGTAGTTAAATTCAGATTAAGTGAAAGTGGCGGGATGAATTTGAATTTGAATTTAAATTCAAATTGAGAGAATTAAAGTGGAAGAGAAATTGGGGGAGAGGGGAGCCGGCATGGGGAGGTGATTAAGGAGTCTTAATTGGGAGCATTAATGAAAGCGAAGAGAGAGAGGGAAATTAATCAAAAATCTGAAATTAATTTCAGATTTTAAGTGGATTTGGCGGGATTTAATTTGAATTTTGAATTCAAATTAAAGTGGGAATTAATGGACCCTTGTTTGGAGCCATGAGTTAAGCTCCTAATTAAGGGGAGGAGTAATGGGCGGCCATAGAGAGAGAGAGAGAGAGGGAGAGATTTGGGGAGAGGATTTGTAACTTCCAAATCAATTTATGTCATTTAGGAAAGAGAATGACAACTCAAATCTAATTTGAAATTCAAATAGACTTGGAGTTATACACTTTCCTAATTAAGATTTGCAAATAAGGAAAGTTTTTGAAATTTGAATTTCAAATTTTAAATTGAGGAAAGTGAATAATAAATCCAATTTGATTTATTTTGAAATTGAATTCATGATTGATACTTTCCTAATTTGGGATTCCCTATATGAAAAGAATTAGATGACGTCGTGAGCAGACATAAAACATAAAACAAAATACATCAAATACAATAATAATCAAAAGTAGATCGTGACCGTAGATCATTAATCTTCTGATGTCCTCATCAAAAAGTTACTAAGGACTTGTCCTTGTGATTATTATAAATCAAATGAAAGTCATGACACGATACTCACTCATATTCTATCAAAATCATACACATTAATATACATAGAGGTTAAAAATAAGGAAACCTACGAGAATGCATATGTTGTGTTATTTTTAATGCCACGTGTTAAGTTTCAAGACAAAAGTGTAATCCCTAAGTTGTTCAATCCAACTGGTAAGTTTATTACACTTTTCTTGTTTGAATTTATGTATTTTAAGGCCTTGTGATAAAGGAAAAATGTTGCAATATCTTAATGCTTGCATGTGTACATAAAATTCTCTATCCTAAGAAAAATATTTTATTTAACCGAATTCAATTTTTCACTATAAGCAATTGGGTGACCTTCTTAGCTAAGGTCACAAATATTAACACGAAAGGCATCACATGATACCTCCTAAACATTTCCAAAATCAAATAGTTTAGAAACTTATGAATCACTCATTAATACCTTGATTTTTTCATTTGGCAGCAAAAATGCCTAATTAAAATTGTCATTTTTTAATAGATTTGTCGAAGGGGCCGTAATAGACATGATTTCGAACAACCCAAAATAATACACAAAAGCCCAATGGCCATACACTACTTACAAGAAGTTGAGCCAGGACAAAATAAAAATCAAGCCAAAATAAATTTGACTTAGATCTATTTCAATCAATTTTGGTCTAGTTTGGCATTTGGTAATTGTCTTATAGCCACGTGAGCTTTTATGGACTGTTTGATATATTTAAAGGCTTATACTGCATCAATTTCATTCCACCATTACATCTACGAATAAATTTTTCAGTAAATCAATCCTTGACAATAGCTTATCTCAAACGTCCTACATTTTCATTTAATCTAATTAAGATCTAATTTTTACAGCCATTCATAATGATTAGAAAAAATATCCTTCCAAAACTATTTGAAAAGGATAAATTCTTACGATTTTTTTTTGTATGTTTTCCAAAACTTGTCATTCAGAATTTATAGTGATTTCTCTACCCAATGTTTAGCTCCAAAGCATGTGATCTAATCACTACATTCAGCTTTTTTTCTTAAACCCGTGCTTTGATACTTAATCAGTATAATAAAGATAAAGTTTCGATAAAATTATATAGACTAAGACTCATAATAATTGCTTAAAATACATGAAGATTAAAACTAAAAGAAATAATATGTCCTTATAATATATAAGAAACATTTGTAAAATATATTTTAAAATTCATGGAATGCTTTATAATTAAGATAATAATTAATTAAAATATAAATACAAACAAACAAACAAAAAATAGACTCATGACCAAAAACTTACACTACATAAACTCTCCTACGCTACAATATCTTCAATAACATTATAACATAAAATATCTAAATCTAAAACAATTCAACATATGATCAAGCGCCACTAAAACTTCCAAAGGTTTCAAACTTTTCATATATATATCAAAAGATTTACAAAGGTGGATAAAAAATCAACATATAAACATCCATCAAAGAAGTTTCACATCAAATTAAAAACACAGAGAACCTATGTTCTGGTAATTCTCTACGGCTGTAAGTAAACCACGGTCGCTCAACCATCACTTAACAGCAAAATCTCCTAAATTTTTTCCCAAAACTAGGGAATGAGCTAATGCTCAGCAAGTAACAATTATCTCTACCAAACTTAAATACAACAAAAAGAAATCAATATTCATGTTTAGTATGGACTAAAGACTTGAAATGAAGCACTAGTTAATAACATATTATGCTTAATGAGACTTGTATCTATCTATATGACCTTTTATAAAATAACTGCTCTTAGATGTGTCATATGCTTCCTTACTTTATTTTTCAATATAAATATCATATACATACGTACCAAAGTACCCATATTGTACTGATCAAGTACAATTTCATATTGTCCATACATCATCATTTTGCTCCGAAGAGCCCTCTTGCCTCGAAGAGTCATATTGTGCTAATGCACTGTATTGATACTCCGTCTTAATATGCACAAACTCGCATATCATTTCAATATCATATTATATTTGATTTAACATATGTTCGAACAAATAAATGCATTTCTTTCTTCACCATCATATATAAGACTATATGTGAATTTATGTAAGACTACAAGTGAAGAATGTTCATAACATGTAAATGAAGAAGAGTGCATAATTTGATCGAGAGTTTTCATACTATATGTGAACATTTGTAAGACTACATGTGAAGAGAGTTTCTAAACATGCAAATGTATGTAGAGTTTTCTAAACATGTAATCGTTAAACTTTATGAAAAGCTAAAGTCATATGCAACATAAATACACTTAACATCTTAAAAAAGAAATAAGAACATGAATTTAGATAGTTAATTGTCACTCACAGATAAGCACGTTTGCTTGACAAACCTTCTTGAATCAACACTTCCCTATAATTAACACCTAGGAAAATAAACACTTTGATTACTAACTTATAATATAATACATTTCCTATTACTCAAACTCATAACATAATACAATTCTAATTAATCTAACTCATATACTCTTAACATAATATATTTCTATTTAATAAATATTTTAATATTAATTTTTAATTCGGATTTAAATAAAACCCTAATTTTCTAAATTCAATTTATTATATTTTCACATATTTTCCCTTTTCTAACTCATAATAATTTTTTGGATTATTTAAATTTAAGAATTAGAGAAATGATATTTTTATAAAAATCACAAATTCTCATCAATAGAACCTTCCTAAGACCTATAGGAACAATCTTTATTAATAAATTTTCACAAAATTTCAATACTTGGAATAAACCTAATTAGAAAACCTTCCATAATCTACCCCTATCGTTCTTCTTTAAAAATCTCGAGTTTTGGACAAACCCTAAAAAATCTCTCTTAAAGAAATCTTCTAAAAAATTTAGAAATCTCTAAATTAAAACATACTTAACCTTCCCTTTGTCTTCCTCTTGAATTATTTAGATGGCTTATCATGCATGTGCCCTTGAATCTAATATTCCTCTTAAAAACTATGAGGGTTATTAGGTAATTTATATTTAAGTAAACTTCGCCAATTTTTAACTTAAAATCTGTGTGAAATTATGTATAAGTTCTTTATATTAAAACGATCGAAATTTCGCATAGAATTTAATAAAATTAATTGCATCGAGTTCCGACAACTTTGAAAATTCGCCTAATTTAGTCGTGGCGCATCGAAATGTGTGCGACGCCTATGATCGATATTTTTCGGGTTTTAAAATGGTGATGCTAGAGTTATCGAAACGAATGAAAGAAAGTTTCATCTTTGAGAACACATCATGAATATAATAAGCTTGGGGAAAAGATATATAGCGAGAAGAGAGAGATGGGAGAGAAAAATATATGGACAAGCTTAAATAGATCAATTAGCTCAATTATTTATTCAATAACTAATCATCAAGAGCCTGTAATACAAGATTGGAGCACCTTTATAGAATATGATTCATAGGTTCTTCCTTAAAATACATGAAGAATAATATGAAAGGAATTGACAAATCATTATTACATAAAGAAACAGGTTTAGAAAAAGTTTTAAACTCAAACTTAAAGGACATATTTGATGTCTGATAATTATGCTAATAATTAATTAAATAGAAATAAAGCCAAAAAAATAGACTCAGGACCACTGCATCACATTATCGTTGCTCAACATCTACTACAATATAAAAACTGTAAGAGTTATCAATTATCAGTTTCAGTTTTTTTCTATGTTCACGTTTATGAAGCTTTTTTTTTTTTTTTTTTCAAGCAATAAATTCTCCATGTCCATTGGTCCGTTACAGTTGACAGAAGCTAATTAGTATTTTGAAAATATACCATATAAAAATTTAAAAACAAATTCATGCAAAATGGAAAAAAAAAAGAAAAAGAAAAACGAAAATTCCTCATCATGGACATTCAGCCTGCTTGTAGGCAACAGATTAACAGCTTCAATGAAAGAAAAATGTTCACAGAAGCACAGGTAAACAGAGCAAAGATAACGACCACTGATTAACATGACAAAAATGAAATTGAACCAAACCTTGTCCAAGTATGAGTCCAGACATGGAATCCGTCTCCTAAACATGATCAACTGCATGAAGATGAAGATAACTATTGTCTAAATAAGATTCTCATAGTAAATAGTGTTATGTACTGCATAACGGCTATCAAGCAGAAGAGAGAAAAAAATTACAAATGCTAATCTAAGTATTAAAATAATCTGCATTAACAATTCGGAGTTTAAAATATGAGAGAAGAAAACAAAAATAAAGAGAGAAGATAACAAAAATAACTTAGAAGATAGAATTTTCTTTCCCTTGATTGGAAGTACACGTTGAGAGAAAAAGAAAAAAATATAGAAGAAAGTTTTCTTCAATATCCCCATGATTTGTTTCTCTTTCAATTTCAGTATAAGTAGACGGAAAGGTATCCAGATGAGTAAATTTCATAATACATAAACTAACTGATGCGGACATCGGTACGAAGATTTGGCACATCTATCACAGGAGGCGTCGTAAATCAACGGCTATAATTTAAATCTTCAATTATGAGTTATTTTTCTGAATTTTAGTTCTTATTTGATGTATTTCCTGTTTTACCCCTAGGTTGGTTTGTATGAGTGTTGTGGCCCAAGGGGCAAATTTGTATTTTGAGTTTTCTTATGTTGTGGCCTATATATGGGGCCTTAAGCTATTGTAATAGGGATGGATTATTGATATTAAAAATTGGTGTTCAACACTTGTGTTCTTTTGAGAGGACGATAGTGAGATTCCTACGGGAAGGAATCGGAGTTTTCAACAGCCGCAGGATGGGTCCGGGCTCGTGACTTGAAGTCCCTTGGAGAAGGACAAAGCATCACCCGTCAATCTTCGGAAGAGTCCAAGGCTCACGGTTCTTATTTTCTTTCTTTTGTTTTTGTTCCTTCTTATTGCTCATCGTAGTCATATTCATCACCTTCCTACTTCCACCTTCACGTCATCTCGAACTCCATAAGCCGCCGGCCAGCTCACCAGAAAATCCTTCAAACCGCTGGCCATGGCTCCCTAGCCGCCGGCCTCATCCCCACTTCTACGTCTCCTTGAAATTTCCTAATTAGGTTGATGATTTAATTGGGATGATCAAAGATTTCAATTCCAAAATTCAAATTTGCATTAAGAGTTAAATGCCCCCTCAATTTCCTCCCTTTAATTAAGGAATTAATCGCAGCTTTAAATCTGAAATTTAATTTCAGATTTAAGGATTAATTCTCTTAAGTAATTGGAGCCCACTAATTTGAAATCAAACCCCTCTCCCTCCCTCTCTCCTAGGCTGGCCCCTCTTCCTCCTTTTGCCTAATTAAAAGCCAATTAATGCTCCTAATTAACTCCCTCATTAACTCAAAATTTTCCCTCCACAAATCCCTCATTTCAAATTTAAAACATTTTGAATTTTGAAATCTTTCCTAAATTAGCGAATCTATTTTAGGAAAGTTTCTTAAGTTAACAATATTTGAATTCAAATTCAAATAGAGTTACTTAATTAATTTCCTAAGTCTAAAACTATTTTAGGCAAGCTTGTACACATGGCACCAAATCCCAATTTCCCCATGATAATTGCCACCGGCCCTCTTCAATAGCCCAGCAATTTCCATTTAATTGTTTCCTAATTTTAAGTCCCTACTTTGGAAATAATTACAATTCCAGTAAGGCAGTAACTCTTACCTGGCCGAAATTCTCATTCATTTCTTGGCTCTAAACTACTTCCTAATACTAGAGGTTGGATTTATGAAACATGAGCTCACCCCCTCTCAATCCCGCCGATTCTCTCTCCCTATCACCGCCCCTACTCACTCCTAATTGCATTAGTTAAGCTCTCTCTTCCAAAACCTGTAAAGGAAGTTTGTTCTCAGCTTTCTATTCACAACCAAGGCTAGACTCCTCCTCAAGCTCTCTACATCCTAGCCCACTAAAATCTGAGAACTCCTCTCATTTTTTTTTTGTTGAAAATCTGAAATTGTTTTCAGATTATAGGAGAGAAGGTTTGGAGCTTGCAACCTCTCTCCTACCAAGAGAAAATCTGAGATACTTCTCAAGTTTTGGGCAAAGAAGTCAGAATTTCCTTTAGATTTTGAAGAAGAGATCCTCTCCCTAGCAGAGCCCTCCTACCCGTTCTACATCAGTTTGGTATCAGAGCATGGACTCGAATCAATTTGGAAGGACTTTAGACTGGTTGGTAGGTCAAATGGGCGCCATTAGTCAACATCTCAAGGAGAATCAAGCGGATTTAGCCGACCTCCACCGTCAAACAACCGAAAGATTCGATAACCTAGAGCGAGGTAGGACTGGTCCACCGTTTTACAAAAAAATCCCTTCATCAAAGGATAGAAAAAGGGCACTAAGAGACGGAGAGATAGTGGATATTGTGGACAAATGGATGGAGGCCAATGAAGCTTTCAATTTCCCACTCACTGTGCAAATCAAAGAGAAATATAAGGTGATCAAGGGAGAACATGAAGAGAAGATGAATTGGTTGACAAGGAGAAATGCGCGACTGCAAATAATGCAGAGAGAGATTTGGTTGATTCAATTACAACTCCTACAAAAGTAAAGGTTTTTTCTGACCCAGTTAAAACTCCTATAACGAAGAATGTCGATGAAGCTCTAGAAGTGACATCCATAGAACTCACTATTGCTCCTATTGCTAGTGAAGCCATCTATGAGAGTGAACAAGTTCCTGCAGGCGAAAAGAAATGCGACAGTTTGGAAGGTGATCCCTTGACTATGGTTAAGGAAATTGGCGAGCTAAAGTGCAACAAACAAGAAGACCTTATGGGCAACCGGGGTTGTTTGAAAATCTTTGCAAAAAGGCCATTGGGTTTATTGTCCATTTCAGATGAAGAAACTATGTCTCAAAATAGCCGTCCAGAGTTGTACATGAGCAGTTGTGATGCTAACTCAACGGAGTCGAGTATTCTCCCACCTGGGAAGAATGATGCGGACATTGGTACGAAGATTTGGCGCATCTATCACAGGAGACGTCGTAAATCAACGGCTATAATTTAAATCTTCAATTATGAGTTTTTTTTTTTTAATTTTAGTTCTTATTTGATGTATTTCCTGTTTTACCCCTAGGTTGGTTTGTGTTAGTGTTGTGGCCCAAGGGGCAATTTTGTATTTTGAGTTTTCTTATGTTGTGGCCTATATATAGGGTCTTAAGATATTGTAATAGGGATGGGTTATTGATATTAAAAATTAGTGTTCAACACTTGTGTTCTATTGAGAGGACGATAGTGAGATTCCTATGGGTTTTTGTTCCTTCTTATTGCTCCTCGTAGTCATATTCATCACCTTCACGTCATCTCCATCTCCATAAGCCGCCGGCCACCTCACCAGAAAATCCTTCAAACCGCCGGCCTCATCCCCACTTCTCTGTCTCCTTGAAATTTCCTAATTAGGTTGATGATTTAATTGGGATGATCAAAGATTTCAATTCCAAAATTCAAATTTGCATTAGGAGTTAAATGCCCCCTCAATTTCCTCCCTTTAATTAAGGAATTAATCGCAGCTTTAAATCTGAAATTTAATTTCAGATTTAAGGATTAATTCTCTTAAGTAATTGGGGCCCACTTATTTTGTTTGGCCTTGATTGCAAACTTTGCCTCGAATGACAGCAGAAATAACGCAAGAACGAAGGAATGGGAAAGACGAGCTCTGCTTGGCCGAGCAGAAATGACGAAGGAACGGGAGGCGAAGGCAGCGGACTCCGTTTGGTGTCGATTGTGAGCTCTCCTGGTTCGCCCTAGAAGATTTCTTTCATGGATCGGAAAAATAGGGCTTCTCGTTCACGGAAAGGCTAATAGAACGGACGATTTTATCATTTAATAACCGGACAAGCATGTCCGATTTAAATTTTAATGTTTTAAATTCCGACACTCCAATGTTTTAAATAACCGACGCGTGTCCGTGTCCGACACGTGTCCGACACTGCATACCCTCTTTAAGAGGCGTGTCGGTGCATCATAGGAAGCTACCCATCAAATAATTTTGAATTTTTTTCCCGGATCAATCTCACTGCTCAATATTAGCTCAACAAATGAGATAATTCCAATCTAACTGCGTAATATTCGGTCAACTAATGAGATTAGTCCTAAAAAGTCCAAAATTTTCTTATGGAAAGTTGGAAACCGTTCATTAATCAATTATACTACAAAGAAACACCAAAATTGTGGTCGTATCAAATTGAATCAGCTTTAGTGAGTTGAAGGATTAAATTCAACATTTAAAAAAGTCTAGGAGAAAAATGAACAAAAGCATAAAAGTTCAGGGACTCTATTTTAGTTATTTACTGGATTTGAAAATAAAAGAGAAACCATGAAAACAAAGCAAATAAATCGTAGGCGGTAAAGAAAAATAACAGCAAAGAAAATTATAGAGGATAACAAATGTTTAAAAAGTTCTAAGAAGCCAAATTATTTTCTTATCATCAAGGAATTCTGAAAGAAAATTGATCAACATACCTTGTGTTGATGTACTATTCGGATCATAAGCATTATACCAATTGCATCGTAACAATTTGATAGTACCGTGTTAAAATGCTCATCAATAACTGCGAATGGTCCTGGAAATAGAAAAAATGATTTCCAATCAAATTCCTTTTTTTTTTCTTTTTATTAGGGAATGAAAATTTCCTGATCATTTTCGCTCTCCACAAACCACAAATTCCAGGATAAATATTTATTGATTGAAATTGTGATCATCCGTATCAAGACATTCGCTAAAATGAAAATATTATCTGCTTTAAAGGAGCTTAATGTTTCAATATTTTTCGAAGGTGAAGAGCAGCCATTATTGAGTTAGATCAAGAAACAAAGCAAGCTTACAACCAAACATAGGGATAAAAGTGTTTAAAACAAATTACAATGATCTAATAAAATTGTTTCTGTTGCTGCAATCCGCTTTCATAAAAAAACACCTGATTTTAAGGCTCCAAAGTAACGTAAAAGGAAACCATTGAAATATAGGGGCCTCATTGACAAAGCATCTAGAAGCATAAGTTAATTCTCCTTTCATAGCTGAAAAGAATTTGATAACAGTTAAGTGTGATTTATTCCACTATATGTGCTGAATTTATACAATCTTGAGAACTTTTCAAGTAGAAAATATAGGGATTAAGGGCTGAAAATCCAGGGTACAATAACAATGGAATAATTACAATTGGTAAAATAGGTAAGCAATTAAATGATGACAGTCCGTCCATGCATGTAACAGCTCAAAGGAATGGAGGAGGCAGCTGGATTGATGAGTTAGGCTTCTTTTGGTTATTTGGTAATTTTGTAAAAGACTGTTTTAAAAAACATTGATTCAGAAAATAGAATTTTCTAACAGAGAAGCATATATAAAAAGCTTTCTCAAAACAGCAGAAAAATGAAGAAAAAGGAGTTATTGGGAACCTGATTTGACGAACCAACAACAACATCAACCTTTATCCCACTACGTGGGGTCGGCTACATGAATCCTTTTTCTCCATTGTGTTCTATTAAGAGTCAAATTCTCGTTTAAATCTAATAAAGAAAGGTCATTCCTAATATTTTCTAACCAAGTCTTTTTAGGTCTACACCTACCTTTCTTAACATAAGTCAAATCTAATACCTCTACTCTCCTAACCGGGTCATCGGAAGGCCGCCGTTTTATGTGGCCAAACCATCTAAGGCGACTCTCTCTAATCTAATCTTCTACTGGAGCTACTCCAACCTTTTCACGTATATGCTCATTTTGTATCCTATCTCTAAGGGTAAAGCCACTCATCCACCTGAGCATCCTCATCTCTGCCACACTTAACTTAGTATTATGCTTCTCTTTTAATGGCCAACATTTGGCACCATAAAGCAAATGATTTGACGAACCAAACAGTAAAAAAGAAATAAATTTGTCGTTTTAAAACGGAATAAGCACAAAAAACTTCCAATCAAACGAAGCCTTAGTGTGGAGGCAGCTGGTGGGTTGCTGGTGCGCACGAAAGGCACAATTAGGAGCCAACAGGAAGAGGTTTTATGAAGGTGGAGTACAGGGAACTTGTGCATATTTTCACTCCCCCTCAACCGAACAAATGTATATTATCCATTCCAAACTCATTTGATAAGTTTTGAAGCATCGTACTTGAGAATCATTAATGAGTATATCAGTAAGTTGATCACATGTGGTTATGAATAGGGTATATAGATTAGACCACTGTCAAACTTCTCTATAAATATCTTTCACCTTCAATATGCCTAGTATCGTCATTTTGTATGGAATATGTACAATATAAAGAACTGACTTGTTATCACAATAGAGCTTGATAGACATTTCCATCTTATGTGCAATATAAAGGACTGACTTGTTATCACAATAGGATTTTATAGCCAAGATATCACCAATGAGTCATGTTCATCCCAAACTTTAAGCATGTGATCTTCTTGTTCATGTCCAATGCAAAATAAATAGCTCAATTTTCCTCTTCTTTTCAAGAACATGCGAACCAATTGTGATCAGATTATATAGTTATTTCCACTTAATCGGTATTTTGAATAGATGTTTTACAACTATACTGTTCGATTTAGATTGCACCCCTCAGTCCAAAGAGAACCTGAGACCAAGAGAATACAAACAATGTTGTTGTTATCCATGGGGAGGAAAACCATGGCAGCAATGTGTTCATGAGGAGAGTTAAGGATAGAAACTGAAAGGTTTCTGTTTCAGGAATAAAAAAGAAAGAAAAGAAGACATTTTGCAAAAAAATACCAGAACTGTGATACCATAACAACAAATTGGAGATTAGTTAAATGTAGTTTATTTCATCATATGTATTTATGCAATCCTATGAACTACTCTAATGGGAAATACACGAGATTAAGGGCTAAAAATTAGGGATACACAGGCAATAGAATTGTTACAATAGGTACAATAGGCAAGTAATAAATAATGATAGCCGATCCATGCATAAAACAATCAGCTGGATTGGTGAGATGGCGTGGGGGCAACTAGCTGTTTGGGTGGACGTGGGAAGGGCACAGCTGGGAACCCAAGCAGAGGCGTGAAGAGTAAAGCAAAAAGCCAGCAGACGAATAACATATGCAAGCGTGATGAAGGACATAATCAGGATTAGGGGTGTAAGTGAATCAAGCCGGCTCGTGAGCCGGCTAGAACTCGGCTCGTTAACGAGCTCGCGAGCCGAGCTTATCGAGCTTCGAGCTCGAGCTCGAGCCTCTTATCGAGCTCAAATAGTAAACGAGCTCGAGTTCGAGCTCAACCCGGCTCGACTCGAAAGCTTATCAAGCTACTCAATTAAATTATATATATTATATCAGACAGACAAGGAATATATAGTTCTATCTTCTATTCAGTTTTTACTTATGCTCTGTTATGAAACTTCTTAATGAGTTGTATGATTCTTATTGTTGTTTTTGTAATGATGATATGAAATATAATTTGGTCAAATTTTTATATTATTGGAAATTCTATTTCTATATTATTCAAGTTTTTATAATACATATAGATCAAATTTTTAAATTAAATTTTTTAAAGAAAGATGATTGCTCTAGCTGTTGGTTATGCCAATCTACTCATAATATATAGATTCTTCTACAACTTAAATTTTTTTTAAAGAAATTAATAGTTAAAGTTCTAGACGTTTTATGATTAATTAAGTTATTTTTTTTATTGTTGAAAACAAATTTTAATTAAGTGTTAGAAGAAAAAAATTTCAAAAAAAGAGAATTTTTGTTTAAAATTAAAGACTCATGCCAATTAAAAGAGTTAAGAGTTCAATTCGAGCTTTTTAAACGAGCTCGAGCTTGATATTTTTTAAACGAGTCGATCTCGAGCCCACTAATCGAGCTCGAGCTCATTAAAGATTAAACGAGCCAGGCTTGATAAGGCAAATACTCGACTCGACTCGACTCGTTTACACCCCTAATCATGATAACTTGAGAGTTTCTTCAATAACTATAGAGAATGTTTAAAAAGCACATATCTACCAAGACAACATAACTACAGCGTAAATTTAAAGTTGCTGCAATAAATTCCATTTCCATCATTAGATCCTTGGGATCCTTGTACAAATCAAATGTGCTAGGATACTGTTCTCCGAGATTTATAGTGGTGTGAATTCCCCATTAACACAATATATATCTGGGTTAACCAAACAAGTGATAACAAAAGCTCATCCTTTATCTTAGAAAAAAGGGATTAGATGAAAAAAAAGTTCTAGAATATATAATAAATTTGTTAAACATATGGGCAGTAGAAACAGTTGAATTTTTCATTTACTGTTGGAAAAATTAAAATGCAAAAATTATACCAGAACTCTAAATGCATGAACCTTTATAGGAAAATTTAAAGAATACCTGCAAAAATTTCATAGAATATGGAATCTTCTCCAAAGAAATCATCACAAAATAGGTACCTAAGGAGCATTTGAAACAGTCAACTGGATGAGTTCAATTTATGAGCACAATAAGAGAGAAAAGTTTAAGCAAGCCAGGTTATACTCTGAGGTAGCAGTATCTATCAAAAGCTTGTGCAAGCTCCTAAAGAGAACTTCATATGGATATTTTTGGGAGTTGGCTTCTGCAATATGCGGAATTAATGCTGGTTGGTCGATTTCCTGAGGAAAGAAGAAAACTATTCATGAACTGAACATCAATACATGTGAAATGGTTAATTCTTATTTATGCCAAAAACGAATTTCAAAATTCACAGAGTCGACACACTGAATTTCCAGATTAAGAAAAAAAACTTAAGAATGAGAAGTTTCTCCTCCTCCTTAGGGACAATCCGGACACATACAACAACAATAACAACAAAATCAAGCCTTTATCCCACTACATGGGGTACATGGGGTCGGCTACATGAATCCGGACACATACTTGAAGATAATCATTCCTTCAGCATACATGCCCAGAATAAAGGAAAAGGAAAGACCAGTGGACTGCGTGTCAGGCATTAAAAGGAAAAAAATGAGTTAAACAAGATGAAATTTCCCGAGGAGATCAAGAGGTTCTTATCTAATAAGTATAGAGGCTAATCAAATAACTGGAATCGCTTTTCCTTTTGAGTTTGAACATGCCATGTGTTGTTGTATTATGATCCATGCAAGCAGGCAATGCTTGAAGAAAAAAAATGTGTAAAAAAGAGAGGTTGAGCACATAATATAGGATTCAAATAAGTTGAAGTGGCTTTTGGAATATTTTGATAACATCCACGAACTTCTTATCTCACCATAAAAAATCCCAAAATTCCATGGTTCCTACCACTATAACAATAACTGGTATGTTGGAAGTTAATGAAGTTCATGTACATAGATCCGAAATGAATTCCAATCATAATGATAAACTGATACAATCGAATATCAAAGTTCAAGGTCCTTTAACAATGACATTAATGAAAATTATAAAGTTAAAATTTAATGTAGACGATGACATGATTAAAAAATTTGAAGAAAAGTGTCTGCTTTAATGAAAAAATTGATCCAAAAGCTTTTATCAATTGCTGATTAGCTGATGCAAGCAAAAATTTGAAAAAAGCCCCAAATTATTGCAAGCAAAAAGAACAACTTCCTAGGAAATAGAAAATTACACGAAATACTAAAAATTAGACAAATTACAACTTTTATAAGATAAAGACGACTCTTACAAACTTATATTATTAAAACAAACACCTTACAACTCTTGACAAACATAAGACACCTAAAATTGCATTTCATCCATCGCTTTGAGAAGAAGGATACAAGTGGCGTCGAACTTGCGAAGAGAAGAAGGAGATATGAAACCGATATGAAAGAGGAGGACAGGCTCACAAGCTTTCCCAAGAAGGAGAGGAAGAAGTGGAATAAGCTCGCAAGCTTTTCCAAGAAAGAAGAAAAAACCCTCAGGATTTTAGATCCAAAAATACCATTATATCAATCTCTTCAAAACATACAAAACACCTTATATTTATAGGAGAAAAGAGAGCAGCCAAACAGCCCCAATTATCTCCAATTAAACCTATTAAAAAGGGGAAATTGAAGTCCAAAAATTCAGTCCAGATTTCTATCCAGAAACAGTCCAGAAATCATTCCAAAACAACAGCTGAAAAGGCCACACATAACCTAGGAAAAGCAACCACGGGACAACCAACCAGGTGAGAAACCAAGGGGGCAAAAGGGGACTGGAACCAGCAGCCAGAGAAGAATCCGAAGGGGCACCAAGGGGAACCGGGACAGCATTCAGGGAACTGGAACAGCCCACGGGAAGGAGAGCCAGCAGGGGAAAAACCGAAGAGACGCAGGGAGAGGGGGAAGGAACCAAGGGGAGGAAATCAAAGGGCCAAAAGCTAAGGGGAATGCACCAAATAAATCCTCAATTAATTTCATATTTATGAGCTGAAAGAGTAGAGATTAAGCATTTATGAGCTGATTTTAGAAGCTCACCAAAAATTAAAAACCTAAAATGTTTTGACCCCCCCCCCCTTGCCTACATCATTAGCTCATTTAAAAATCATTTATAAATCAATTGCTCATTTACAAATAAATTTATAAAGTACAAAAGAGTTTACAACAAATCTAAATATAAAAACTCTAAATTACATTTTGATGATTTGCTCAAACACTTCTTGAAAAAACTGCTTCGAGAATTTTTCTTCAATCATCATATAGATTTAACTGCAATAAAATCAGTTAAATAGCTAGAAAACTTCAATGCATTGCTCATATTTAACTACAATAAATATTTTACTATTATTCATTAATCATTAAAAAATATATTATTAACAACCAAATGATTTATTTCATCATTTAATTCTTTATCTATATAATTTGAAGTGTTTATCTTTCAAATTTTTATTAAACATAACACAACAAGTCAACCTTGTTCATTCATCCAATAGCTAATTTGTTCATTATTTTTGTAGAATAGAATAAAGTATATATTATTAATAATAATATATAATAAAAAATTATAAAACTTAATTATAATGAGGTGCTGCCTTGAAATGCCTCAGGGCGTTAAGCCTCGATGCGTGCACCTCAATTAAAAAAGGCATAAGCCTCATTGGCACTAGCAAGGGCATCGATGGGCTCATTGTGCGTCTCAGTTCAAGGTGAGCCTCAAGACGTGTGCCTTGAACTATTTTTTAAACCATGCTAGATAGTAATTGAAAGCACACCGTTAGCTGGATCAAGTTAACAACTAAGTATCACATAGCAACAGAACAATCCACTTCCAAAATCAGCCAACCGAATTGTAGGTCCAGTAAGAAGATTGTTCAAGCCTTCAAATTCCTAGTCAAGGAGTCACAAATACGGTAGAAAGAATGGCACAAGCCTTCAAAGTCATTGCTCGGCTCCATCACCAAAAGAAAGAGAGACACGTCGACTTCCTCAATCGAGATATGTTTCTATTAACTTCAAAGGAGAGTTCTCAAAATTAATTCTCACTTTCTACAATAAATCAAATAATGTTATTACCAAATCAATGAAAGACTGTGCACAACAACAATGACATCAAGCCTTCATCCCACTACGTGGGGTCGGCTACATGAATCTTTTTCTCCATTGTGTCATATTAAATGTCAAATTCTCATTTAAATCTAATAAAGAAAGGTCATTCCTAATATTTTTTAACCAAGTCTTTTTAGGTCTGCCTCTACCTTTCTTAACATAAGTCACATCTAATACATCTAATCTCCTAACCCGGTCATCGGAAGGCCGCCGTTTTATGTGACCAAACCATCTAAGGCGACTCTCTCTAATATTATCTTCTACTAGAGCTACTCCAACCTTTTCACGTATATGCTCATTTTGTATCCTATCTCTAAGGGTAAAGCCACTCATCCACCTGAGCATCCTCATCTCAATGAAAGAATGTGCACACTTAAAAAATTTCCTTCTGTGTCATATATTTTTCTTTTCATTTTACATTGGCCAAAACATTTTGGTCATTCTTCTGTTTTTCTGTATAAACATCCTCCAGTGCCACATAAAATTGCTTTAAACTGCTTAACTACCATGAAAAAACTCCCCAAAAGTTCACCACAAAAAACTTTGCATCAAAAATTCCATTTTTCATCAATTAATAGGTTCATTATCATATTATCTCAGCAGGAAAAGGAAATGAAAGAACAAACAGATGAGATGCACAGATGAAAAAAATAAGGAAATAATTGTGGCCACGTTTAGGCTTGCAAGGCATGGAAGTAAATGTGCTATATCTTAACACAACTACAAAAACTTGAAATGTGGCAGTCAAATTCTGCATGGTCAAGAAATAAAGGCAGATTATGCAAGATTGTGGTGCAATTAAGAAAACCCAAAGTGTAGAGAAGAGACTTTTTATGTTTTGTGAAACAAAAGCCGAAGAATTAATCAAAATAGCTAACACAAATATATCAGCATGCCAGAGAGAAACCTTTAAAATATTTATTCTGCCTCCTAGAGCAAAAACAGAGGAACGATTCTTTATTGTTTCTCTTGCTCTTAAGAAAATTCCTGTACTTCTAGTCTCAACTCCGATCAAATCAGTTGATGAAGCTATGTCCAGCTGCATTTTCTCCATTGCTTGTATGTATACACGGAAATGTGCGCTTAAAACCTGAACAGAAAAAAAAAAAAAAAGCAAATGACCCAAGAATAACATAAGTATTGACAAATATATAACAAATAACTCCGAGGATATCTAAAGTCACATAAGTTAAATATGTACGTGTCAATGAAAGAATAAATTCAAAAGTCCAAAGAAAATATAATAGCCATTTGTACAAAATCTACCATACCATTCCATGTTAGAAATTAAACACTTCTTGATAAAGAGTCCAAATTTATTCACAAAATTAAAAGCAGCAAGTAACAGTTTAGCATGGTTGCAAGAAACTCGTGGCTTAAAAATCTAAAAAGAGACCATATGAGCTTGCAAATAAAATATAACGCCTTTATAGCATTTTACCTTGTTCATTGTATCAATGTAAGCCGCACGAACCTCTGTATAAATATCTTTACCATGCTCCTTAAGGAAAAGAATCACATACCTGCAATTTACCAGTAGTCATTTGGCAGAGATGAAAATGATGCTCAACTTAAAAAGAAAAAATCAAATAAGCCAAAAAATATATCTAATCAATGTCAAATAGTTCATAAATAAATGTCTCAGGCTTTTCTTTTAAGTTGCTACTATAAAAATTTTAAAATAATTCAAATGAAGGATGAAAGAATGCAACAGTTACAATGATTACTAGTGATAACATTGATAATATGAGGCATCAAAATTAACACTATGACTTACTTATACTTTAGAAGAACATTTTGCTGCAGAATCTGAATATTAGTTTTGGGCTTTCTCAAAGCATAAAGCTTTTGAACCATAAAATCAAAAACCTAAATAGAAGATGTTTGCGCATTAGAATAACTAGTAGATCCAAAAAAAACAGAAACGAAAAAAATTGTTTAACAAACATTAGCATTTAGAAATGAAATGCATAAATTTCAGGTAGTTATGCAGCCCTTGGAAGCTTAAGCAAGGTTCTCAACTGGTTCAATTTTAGCATTCCATTAAATTAAAAAAAAAATAGAAGTAACATTTAGTTTCTCACTCATTATACTATTTGAGTACCCAAAATACCATTCATATTGATCCAGCAAACTAATTTTGTTCACTCCTGAATGGCAACATGTGTGTCGGCCACCTGAGAGCAACGTGTAATGAAATGTAAAAAATATATATGAAAGCAGCATCTTTTGGAACCATTGTAGATAAGTTCATTACATTCAATCCTATGAGGTATCAATTTTAGGAAATTTCCCATTTAGATTCCAACATTTTAAGGGGAAAAGTAGTTGAAAATAGGAAGATATAGACTAACAAAGCTGATAAGGCTTCCAAGTCGTTCAAAAAAAAAAAAGCAATGAAGACTGTAGGGGACTAGCAATGATGGCTTAATCAAATACAAATTAGGGAATCAGATCCAACTGGAATTAATGATTAGGGTTGTATGAGACTAGAACAACTACTGGATCAAAGATGCAGGTTGTAAAAGACTTAGCATCGAATGCTAACCCTAACAAAATAATAGATTTTTAGTAATGGATTCGGGTTCATCAGGAAGGATGCAAACCAATTCTAACACCATGTAGAGAAAAGATTCTTCACCTCTAATGATTCTTATATAATGGACAACCACAATAACATAATATTTATACTTGGGAGGAAGGAATAAAGAGGAGTATCAAATCCTTTAATCATTCCCAATCAAATCTGAATGTTCCAGATTTCTAGCTACCTAAAGAGAAAGATAATATATACACTTTTATACATTGAGGATATTTCCAGTTTAAGAAAGGAAAGCCAAATATTATAAGATGCATCAAGAGTTCAAACTTTCAGCAGGGTGACTTCAGATTAGCAACTTGTGTAGATTCCGGATTTGCCATAAAAAATCTCACATTGATTTCAGATTAATAAATGAATGGAGATTTTGAGGTGCTAACATACACACTGCAGGAACAAAACCTTTATTAGGAGCTCCGTCTTGCCATTTTACGGATAGAATTAGACACGTTAAAGGCATAACTGACCAAAAAATCAGCATGCTTAAATAAAGAAAAAAACTGAAATATATTAAAGGGCATATGAAGTTCTAAAATTCCATTGCCATCATCATTATCATCCAAACATATCCAAAAGTAAGCCAGCTTTGGAGAAAACCTCCAAGATACTGAAAGACCCTATAATTAGCAGTCAATTCATCCCAATTCTAACATGAGGCCCCTTTCCTGACTAAATAGCATGAACAACAATAACAACAACATCAAGCCTTTATCCTACTATATGGGGTAAGTTATATGAATCCTTTTTCTCCATTGTGTCATGTTAAGAGTCAATTTATCATTTGAATCAATAAGGAAAGGTCATTTCTAATATTTTCTAAACAAATCCTTTTAGGTCTACCTCTACCTTTCTTAACATAAGCCAAATCTTATAGATCTATTTTCCTAACCGGGTCATCGGAAGGCCGCCATTTATATAACCGAACCATCTAAGGAAAATCTCTCTAATCTTATCATCCACTTGAGCTATTCCAACCTTTTCACGAATATTGCTCATTCTGTATCCTGTCTCTAAAAGTAAAGTCACTCATCCACATGAGCATCCTCATCTCTGCAACACTTAACTTAATCTTATACTTCACTTTTAATGACCAACATTTTGCAACATAAAGCATTGCAAATCTCACCACCATCTTAGAAAATTTTTTCTTAAATTTGAGAGGGACTTTTCTATCACACAACAAGCCTGATGCCTTCCTCCACTTCAACCATCCAACTTGAATTTGAAAATAATATCCCCGAACAGTATGTGAAAAGTGTCAAACCTGAAAGGATGATTCAACATGTAAACAGTCTATTTTCATTGTCATGTAGCACCAATTTTTTCTACAAATGAGTAGCCTTTAAATTAAGTAGGAAAGAAACTCATAAAGGATGTATCACGGTTATCATGCTATAGATGATTGTATCATTATATTAAGCGCAATTAAAACAAAAGCCAGAGAGCTGCATGACGTCATTCCCATAGGTTACTAAAAAACCTGAAGAATAATAAATGGAGCAAGACGGTAAGCAACTAATTAAGAACATTTAAGCACAAAAACCCATGCAAGTTATCAATCTACAAATTAACCAATTTAAGTGGTAAAGACCGAATAATAACCGTACAGATAATTTTAGTTGTACAAACCATTTCTCATATTATAACATGATAGTAGAATATAACCAGTAGTATACGTCCAAAATAACATGAACTGACTTCAAATATACAATTCAAATGAACTTTTCGCTTCCTGTCATGCAATTAATCAGAAAGCCTCATTTTTTAAATCTAGGAAAAGAATGCCATGTCCATGTAGAACTTCATTACCTTTGAGACTGCCTTTTGCCGAAGTTTTTCAAGTTCAGGCTGGACATCTTTTAGAGCCTTCGATGCCTTGATCATGGAATCTTCTTCAACAAATTTAAGCTTCTTGCTTAGTATCTCAAGGGTTCTTAGATATTCATCATTTACCTACTTGATCCAACATACACATTTAAAAACTTTGTAGATATTGACCTCAGCGTGGCTAATTACTAAAAATAGAGTCAATGAACATACGACATAAAATTAACAGAGACAACAAATAGCTTGGTAAAAAGATAATTCATTGCACATTGGAAATAACTGTATTTACAATAGCCAGGCCAGCCAAATGATAACTGAAAATATTATTAAGGTGGAGGAAAGTAAGTACTATTTCATATGTAAAGCAAGCCGCAGTTTACAGGCATAGTTTTGGTTTATTGGCTGAGTATTTCAATACAAAATACTCCCTAATTATTCACTATCAATCGAGACCTCATAACAGTAATTGGCAATGGCATCATAGTGATGTAGAATGGAAAGAATTTATAAGCTGCTGAAAGTGTCATCATCAGTGGCAGCTGCTGTTACAATCATCCTAACCATTTGGTCTTGATTCCAGAATAGCCATATCCTTTATAGCAACCCTAAAATAGCTAGCTCCTGAACCCCTTTTTCAACCTGATTTTCTGACGTATAGTGGATTAACATACTTTCTTTGTTTTTTCATTGTATTAAAAGAACATAATCATGGCATTTTCATTTTTCCTATTCTCAACTTCTCAGTTGAATCATCTTCACTGCGTAATACCATAAAAGTAAACCTCTCTCAATCCAAGAATTATGAGCCTATAAAAGCGAACAAATCACAGTTGAGTCTATTGCTAATAAAAACTGAATGGCTTCATAGTAGAGTTTGATACCATAAAGGTGCGTCATTAATCACCCAGACAAGAAAATACCATTTTTTCAGCTGAAACAGATGACTCAACAATTTGTGAAAGATACGATGCATTTCAATTGTGAAATTTATAGATAAAACCAATGTCACATAGAATAAAAAGCAATTCATCGAACAAGTCATGATATAAGAGAATTTAACATCCATAAGTTATCCAATTCAAAGTCAAAGAACTTAGTGTAGAAAACATATAAAGAATTTTCAAGCAAATGATGTCAAGAACTTATGATCCTTGATGCACTGAAGGTATCAAAATGAAGCATTAAAGATGAAAAGAACAAATAACTACCTCGCCATCCACAATAACGTCAACCATCCTTGGAGGTACAATTATGTCTTCAACAAATTTTGACAATTTCGACTCTGCTGTCTGATGACAAAACATGCAAGTAAAGGAGCTCATCATGAATATTCATCTTTTTTAAAAGAAAAATCAGCTGGTTAAGTGATCTCAATTAAAAAAAAAGGTAGCAATTGTTGCAATTTTACTTCCATTTTGCCTGTTTCTCAGAATAACATGTTGGCATAGCAGGGCAATTCAGAACTCAACACACAGTCAATCCAACCTGAACGAGAAAATGCATGCCTTACGATTTTTCAGCTTCAGACCCATATCCATGGATTTCTCTTGAAGACTTTTAATATCTGAACTTATAGAACCAATCTCAGCCTACCACAAAGACTTCAAATAAGTTGTCAACCTAAAGCATTTTCAATATATAAAAAACAACAAAAAATTGTAAAAATAAAGCAAATGAGGAATATATTTATTATGAATTCTGCAAGAACTGATTATAAGATAACAGCAATATTTTGAATAAATTGATATGGCTAGATTTAGAAAAAAAATGTGAACTATTACGTATGGTGAATGAATTTGGAAATATTGAAAACATAGAATATCAAACGTTGAAATAGAATTTCTACTTAAAGCCATTATCATCATCATCATTGTCACCGCCATCATCATCACAATCATCATCATCTAAATATTTGGGGTCAGCGTTTTGTATCTTCATTTTCTTTTTACCCCTACTGAATGTTTTCTAAGATGCTAAAACTATTCTTCGCTAATTATTTTGGACAAAACATCTTATCTTAGGTTAAATATTTTCTTTTTTAATCTTTCAACACTAATTTTATCTACTCATCTATTCAGAGCATTTTCTATCCCTTTGTTGTACAAGTTCAAATCACCTAAATCTACTTACAAGTATCTTATTTTCAATAAAAATCACACCAAACATTTCACTAAAATAATCATTCTTTAATTTCTTCTTCATATTTTTTTCACAAACACCCATTTCAACACTAACTGCCACACTTAAGTCGCATTCACATTAACTATCTATGACTTTATTACTACCCAAACTCATATTCATATAACTTAGCTATCATCTTATCACATAACACTCTTAAGATACTCATCCATTTTAATGCCCTGGTTTTAACTAAAGAAGTTGTATGTACATGTGTGCGTGTGTGTATATATATATATATATATTCAAAAGGGAGTTTGAAGTTGAGTTATTAGACATGCATATTTCTATTATTTTTGGCCTTGTAGTTATTATCTTTAATTTTTTATGTATATTACTTTCTATAATTGTGCAATCATGATATTTTTCTTATTTGGAATATAATGAAGACAGTAATTTATTTTTTATGAAAGTGGAAGCTTATTTTCAAAAGAAAAATAGACAGTATTTATGATAAAAATGAGATGTATGTAAAAAACCGTTTATTATAATAACATTTTATATTTTTGTCACAGTTTTAATTTATTTCATCATAAATGAAAAGTTAAATCATCAACAATTATTGATATTCTTATGACTTATCATTCCAAAAGAATCTCATAAACTTAAATAATGACCAAAGAGATTTTTAAGTATAATATAATTCTAAATAAGATGAATTGATAAAAAAATTACTAAGGGTCACAATTTAAAACTGGGGTTAACTTAATGTTATTCCCCTGGTTCTTTGTATATTTCATGCATGCATATAAATTTATTCATAAAAGTATAACTTTAAAATTTTAAGTTAAAAGCAATCAAGATTACTTTTTAAAACTAAGAGATCAGTAATTTATGTTAGAAGAATCATAAGTCATTTCGATGAATATATTTAATTTAGACATAGCATTAATTTTATAAAATATCTTTTTAAAAATCTTAAGAGAATAGAACTTATTTTTCGACTCAGTTTAAATGAGTGAAAATAGAGCCATTAATTTTTTACCATAAGAAATACAGAAGCGACAAAATGAATACTAAGAAAAAAAATCATTTCAATAATACAAAAATCATGATTTCAAGCTACCTCGACGGTAAATAAATCATGAGTCTTGACCCAAGCTTTTTCATCAATTTTAAAATAACACATATTCAAATATTAATGTCAAGAAAATAGAAGATTTATCTTAAGAAACAAAATTAGAGTAAATAAACCATAGAGAAAGTAATTAGAACATGCAAACTAGAATTTTGATAAACATATACATAAACTCATATAGAAAAATAATTAGAGAAATGAAAGGATAAAATCAAAAGAAATTGAATGACAAAAAAATTAAATAAATAAATAAGGAAATATTTGAGATGAATTTTTATGCTCAAATAGTTTGCCATATCATTTCAAAATGATCTCATGTGCATATGTAGGTTCCAGAAAGATTTGTAGATACAATAAAATTTTAAATCATGAGTAATGATAAAATTATCCTAAAGTCAAATTTTAAAATCATAATTCACTATTGATATCCTCATAACTCTTTTTATATTTCATGCATGCATCTTACTTTAATCATTGAATTATAACTCTTAAAATTATAACATATTAACGATTGGATTACTTTTAAAATTAAATGGCTAGGAATTTATATAAGGAGAATCACAAATCATTTTTAAAATATGAAAGATAGTACCAACAGACGTAAATATAGTTAGCATTATTTTTATAAATATCTTTGAAATTCTAAAAAAAATAAGAACCTACTAATTAAATTTAAATGAGTGAAAATAAAATTATCAAAATTTAAGTATATAAGAAATCTATAGGTAAGAAGATGAATCCTAAGAAAAATATAATCTCAAAGATAAGAAGCCCATGATTTCAAGCTAGTATGACATATGAATAAACTATGAGTCAAGAACCATAATTTTACAATTATTTTAAAAATAATAAAGTTAATTTCAAAAAATTAAAAATTTCACTTTAAAGGAATTAATTTTAGAGTAGACAAATCTTAAAACAAGTAATTGAAAGAAGTTTATAATTTAGATAAACCTCCATATTATCTCACATATAAAAAATAGAAAAATAAAAAGATAGCAATTATGAGAAATAGAATAACAAAAGAAAATACAAAATGTGTTTGAGATGACCTTTTAAATTAAAAAAACTCGACTTATAATTTTGAAATGATCCAACGGGTATATATAAGGTTTGTAAAGAACTAAAGATTGCTAGATACAATACAATTTTATTATGATAAAATTATCTAGGGATTATAATTCAAAATTGAAATTAACTATTGATACTCTTTGTATGTTTAATGCAAGCATGCAATTTTGTTCAATGAATTCTAACTCTTGGAATTACAACATATGAACGAAAACATAAAAATAATTTCATATATAAAATAATGGAAATAATGAAAAGATAAAAATTAGAAGAAATAAAGTGATAAACAAAAACTAGATAAGAAAATAAAAAAGAATTTGAGATAAGTTCTAACGCTCAAATAGCATGACTTATATTTCGAAAATGATCCTTCGGGTATTTATAGGATCTATGGAGATTTATAGATACAATGCAACACTAAATGAGAAGTTGTAATAAAATTATCCAACAGTCATAATTCAAAACCGAGATTAACCATTGGTAATGTTGTGGCTCTTTTGTATATTTCATACATGCATGTGCTTTATTCATTGAATATTTTATAATTCACAGAATTTTAACCTATGAATTTTATGCGAAGGGCAATGTAAACATTACTAGGTTGACCTAAAATTTATTATGTAAGTGTACGCGCCAAAAATTCATGTTTGGATGTTTTGAGAGAGTTTTTGTATTCAGAGTGAAATTTTTAGATTGTAAATTGGATTGTAGATAAAAAAACTACCCATAAATTTCACCCTCATTTTATGCAAACTTTAAAATTTAATTCCAAATTTCTCATAAGAGTAAGCCTGTATGGAAAAGAACTTCAAATTAAGACTAGTTAGATACGTGCTAAATGCTTAGCATATAATAGCAGCAATTTATAAATTTTTTTTAAGATTTAGAAATTAACTACAATAAACTTAAAGCGCATTGTGGGATAATGATGACGAAAAGATCCCATGATTCTATTATCCCAGGTTGTTATGGTCCCTATTCTACTTAATCAGAGGAGATCAGCAACACAACTTGATCAAAAGAGCATTCTCAGCAACCATGCATCACTTTATTCAAGGGGATTTTATATACTTCGGGTTGATATTTGTCTATAGGACAAATTTAAGTTGAACCTTAGCTAATAGAGTTTTGTACCCTATAACTCACAACTCAAACTTATGGCTCTAGACATGAACGTAATTTAATAATTTTATTCTGTGTGAAATCACTCAATTAAATAATCTCAGTCATAGCCATTTACCTGTAGTGTCATTTTGCAGCAAAATCATCAGTTAGAGGCCATGTGTCATAGCTTTACTAGTAAGAAATCACTTGCAAATGAAACATAGTAATATGCTCGACAAGACAATGGATCTTTATAAGTTGAGATTATTATTAAATTTATCACCCGGGATAAATAATTGCGAATGTTGGATGAATTTTTGCTTTAACTTTTAGGAGAAATTTTTTCGCTTATGAATTTTTTCTTTTTTGTATTTTTGGGGATTTTTTATTTTTTTTTTCCGGATGGGCGTCGAACTGTTGTGCATTGGAATTTGGGGTGTCTTTTAAGATATAGTCACCTTCGATAGATATCTGCTTTCAAGATAGAGCCATCACCGGAGTTTTTAAATGATTTCTTTTTGTTATTTTCGACCATGTCAACTTTGTTAGCTTGCTCATGATTAACACTTGCAGTTCTATTTACAAGACAATATCATTTAAGTATCAGGATCGAATATTTGATTGAAAAATTGCTCTATTAGAAAATTTTATGACAATTTGTGTTGTAGTAATTTAAAGAGAGGTTAAACTCTTGTCGACTAAAATCTTGGAGAGATGGAGGATCTGACTTCAAAAGTCGGACTTATGACCCTATGCCATAGATAAAGCGGGCCGCTCGATAACATCACGTAAAAATGACATCAGCATAACGCACTTGCACACTTCTTAGTGCACGTGCATGTTTTTATGCACTAGCACGATGTTTGATCTTTGGTGCAATTGCATAATATCAAGCATGCTCTTTGAGATTAGCTACTTTTTTATTTGTCTCTCTATTTAGAGAGAGAAACCACGAGAAGGAGAGTTAGAGAAAAGGGGTGAGGAAATTGCAACTAAGAAGTGTTTGAGGGGAGAAGGTTGGTAATAGAGAAAGAAGTCGCTGGTTTTGGAAAGTCGTCGAAGTTGGTGGAGAAGCATCGACAATGTTGAGATCATAAGAGTAATTATCAAAGGCGGGTGAGGTTGCAGGAATGAGACGAGAAGGATATCAGGGTTGCT